CTGTTGTTGTTGATGTTGTTGCTGCTGTTGCAGCCGAGATAATTGTGTAGAGAAGGTCACGCTGATGGACTTGGAGTGGGAGTGCACTTTCTCTCTAGAAAGTGTTGCCTTCATGCAATCAGTCGGTCAGTCAATGAGTCAGTTGAGCGATTAGGCAATGTTGGAGGAGTTTGTGGTGGCGACTCTCGATGCTGTTCTTCCTTTCCTCTTTCTCTCTCTCTCCCTTCTTTTTCTTCTCCTTCTTCGTCTCCTTTCTCTTCGTTTCAAAGTGGTTTGCAGGTGGCGACGCGAGCTGCAGGTCCATTGACGAGAAGCAGAGGTGCCTTGTACATCGTAGATAGAATCAGCGCATTGACATGCAAATGAACGCTGCTTCCTTCGTTGCAGTGGTGGCGTTGGATGGCTGTTGTTTGTCGTGGTTGCATGTTGTCCAAGTGCCTTCACTGCAATGGTGGTTGTGAGGGTGATCAGTTTGTTTGCAAGGAGAGTGGAGTGATGGCTGCAAGTCGCTTCACTGGCGTTTGTAGTGTTGGTTGGTGGAGAGTGCAGTCGTCGTTGTCGGTGTTGGCGACGTCTCATGACTTGCCAGCAGGCATTGTTGAAGTTGGGCATCAACTGTCACTTGTTGTGCTGTCACGAGGTGTGTATGGTGAGAAGGCAATGGTAGTGGGGACATTTGACAGGTCGGTGAGAGGTGGTGTGGGATCTCACTTCGTAGGTTTCGCCTCGACGAAGGAGGTGGGAGTCACCACACCTCCTCTAGTTGTCTTGTCGACAGGATTTGGCGTGGGTTGACGATTGGCGCTGGCAGTGCAGTGTTGAAGGAAGGCGAGGTGGCAGTGATGTCGGTATCTGCCAGTTGATGTTGAATCCACTGAAGTGTTTCGGTGTGTGTGTGTGTGTGTGTGCCATGTTCTTCATCAGCTCCACTAGGGTTGTCAATATGATGGGGAAGGTGAGTTGACAGTTTGCATTGGACTGAGAGCGGAGTGCGGAGTGATGGAGGCATTGCAGGTGAAGATAATGGTGTGGTGATTCGTTGCTGATGTGTCGAATGAGCTCGTCATCTCGTCCTTGTGACAGCGTGGATGGCAGTGAGATGGCATGTGATGTGGTGTCACTATTATCGCTTTGGAGTACGACACGTGCGTGTTGGATGATGAGGTGGGAATTAAGTTAGAATTTGGTCAAAAGTTCGGTCGTTTCTTCCTTGACGGCTGGAATAACTTCGAATTGTAATCTCATTGAAGCTACCAACACAACTATTAACTTTCAACTGTCAACAATTTTGATATAGCCCAACCAAGTGCAATTATTCATTCCAGTCACTCGTGAACGATGTAGGTAAAAATGTAGTAATTTGTCCGAGTTTTTCTCCAACCCCTCCTCCCCCATCTCTCCAGTTAAATGCCCATTTTCCCATTCCACTTCACTCATTCACTGTGGAGCTGCCTAGAGACTTGCCATCCATTGACCTTTCATTGCCATAATTTACAGTGTCTCTTTTCTCCTCTCGAATGACATCGGCTTACTCTTTCAAAGAATTGACAGTCCAATCGACTCAGCGATGCGTAGATTGACTTTATCGACTGACCTCCATCAGCCCAATGACTGCCGCCAAAGTGTATTGGGTGGAATTGGAGGAAGCAACTTGTCACTAATGGAAGATGAGGAAATCCAAGTTTTGGAAGACAGTCATCGCTACAGCTCTTCTTTGTTTATAGCCTTCAACGCAGCGAATTCACTATTCCATTCCATTAAAAAAAAAACTTTTGTTTGCTCGAAGTCTACCTTACTGACGAGTCATAGGCGAATATGAATTAAACCGTAACACACCACGACAAAGTAGATCTTCAACAAATTCTTCTGTGAGTTGAAAAAAATTGACACATATGAAGGATTCGAGCACCGTCAATTCACCCTGTATTGAGGTGACAACCACTCTTACCTGCTCTCGACTCCTGCTGATCCATTTTCATTCCATTGGTCAAATGACTCAGTCCATCTGCATTTCTTCATTCTAAATCTAGTCTCAGA